TGTTTTTCCTTTAATTTAACTATTACTATTTCGGCCATCTAATATGCCATCAATGTTACCAAAGAGCAGAGACCTTATTACCAAGTGCTAGTGAACCTGTGCCACAACATCCTGAGAGGATCATACTGCCAAATTATTCAAGAGCACCTGATACACATTCACGCTGCATATTTACACAATATACATGTGTTAAACAAATAAATACAATGTGGTACAATTATGTGAAAAATAGTCAATAAATAATAAGAAGCAAAACTATTGTTTTTATTTTATTCATGATTCCTACCTAACCAAGTTTTTCCTAATAGTTATTCTTTAAAATCGTACCGAATAAAATGAATTAGTTGTAATATCAATTCACTTCATACTGAGTTCACACTAAGTTCATAGGTTGACCTATATTTCATTGAATATTAAACATAACCTCAAAAAAATTTTAGTTTTCCTAATAATTTAAGTTCTCAGAAGTGTCCGTCAATAATCTTTGTTTTTATAGTCATTAACTTGCGATTTTGAACCTAGAATAATTATTCATGATTGTTGGTTCTTATGCTAACTATGTATGGACGCAGAACAATGTCCTTTTCACAGCAGATAGGAAATAGCACTAGGATCAAAATCTATATCATTTCGAGAGGGCTTTAAGCCAGGGGGTGGTTGTCACCCCATCTGTTGGATAGATGTTTTTTATTACATTTTAACTTACAGTAATCAATGTAAAACTATTTTTTATTAAAAAATGTTCTGTAGGTACATTTTTTTCTTATAAGTAATACTTTTCGAGTTATTCGCTATTGAATGTAACAGTTTTTCGACGTAAAAGTCAACATAAAATGTAATCTACACGTTGTACAATTGTTTGTTTTCCCTAATAAAATAAAATAAAAGAAATAAGTTAAAAGAAACTACTACAAATTAAGTGCCTAGTGAATAATCAATAGCAATGTAACCTGAAACTGTAAAATATATGAATATTCTTGCAGGAAACTTTTATACATGAATCAGCGCCGCATTTAATTATGTGTATTTTTAACCGACAGCACAATGCAAGAGTGCGAAGTGCGAGGCAGACAGGGTATAGTGTTTAACAGTCTTTGAAAAGTATGTATATTCCTTTGTGGCACGATAAAGACCGCGTGGAACGATTTTGATGTTTTATACGTCAATCAATTCGTCTTAATCATGGAAGTGCTACTAAAGATATAATAGTAATCGAAATTCAATAAGAGGATAATTAAGCCATATTGTGAGAAAGAAAACAAAATAAGTTGACGAAATATGTCGAGTGGTATATCATTGTCTAAATAATCGAAAATCATGTTTAGGTTCCTTACACCATTTTTCATTTTATATAACTGTTTAGGATCAATACAACGATTTCAAGTTATTTATCCACTTTCGCTTTTAATTTCAATCTTACGTTTGTATGGATCTTTGTTACTCTTTCATTTATTTGGTCTGAGCTCTTTCACCCTAAAAATACTGAATGGATTTTAATGAAACTTAACAAATATATAGCTCATACATAATAATAACATCTAGATAATATTTTTTGGAGTTATTGAGTGAATTGACCAAAATATAAAATAATTGAAAAAAAGATCCAATCTTTAATAAATCTACTGGGACCCGATCCCGACTGTAAAAGTAGCTTTGTTCCTTACTTAACAGAATTATAGACTACTGGACATGATTTTTTCTTTTCAGTTTTTATTTGCACTAATATTTAAGCAGTTGGGTTTTTAGATTTTTTAATTTACCTTATTTTAATGTTTGTTACTCAATCCCATAAAAACGACTAACAGATTTGGATATGGCACTAATAATTTACAACCTGGATAAAAAAAAAACAGGATAATTAATATACCGTCATAGTTTCCAGTTCGGGGTTCACAAAAACCAACTATAATACCGCGGACGAAGTCGAGGGCTAAAACTAGTGCCTAAAGCTTTTATGTATAATATAATAAAGTTTCATGGGCAGAGCTCAATACAAATTTCGTATTTACTGTGATTACATTAGAACAAAATTTTAATTTAAATACTACAGTACAGGTATCCATCACATTAAAATATTATGGTTTCCATTATATTTTATTGACACGAATAACGCTCATCCTCACCCGTCTCGTTAAGCGTACGAATGAATACGTACGTGCACAATTCCGTAGTAATAAATCCGTTTATAAAAAAAAAACTGACTAAACCTTGAGGACATTATAATTTATGAATTTTTGTCATTACTTCACGGTAGTACAAACAGTCGTTGGTTGCCTATGCTCGATCATAAGGTTTAGTCCATCGACAAATTATAAAAGTAAGTCAGTGGTTTTGTCTATTACAGGGGAAACCCCTTTTCCTCTACTGAATGTAATACACGTCATGTCTGTAGTCTGCCCAAGCCAGTCAGCGATGGCCGTGCCTTCTAAAAATAGATTTAATAAATCTGAATAGTGATGTGAATCTAACACAATCGATTGTAAAAATATAAGTAATACCGATTTTCGTTGACAAGCTTAATCTACAATAATTGCGCTAGTTTTATCTGAAGTTTTTCTGTCTGTTATGTTTTTACTTGTAGCTTCATATAAGACAATTTAAGTGCACTAGATTATAATAAATAATAGATCATGGAGTAAGAGTTTTTAAAACAAATCTGTGCATCAAACTTAGCAATAAGATAAGCGTTATTAATTTAATTTACACATGGTAGTATTATAATGGTTTACGTAAGTAATTTTTATCTTATTTTTGCATTATTTATTTATTTTGCATTGTCATTCAACGAATAGCGGACTAAATGCCGTAAGAGATTTTCTACTAGTCAACTATCTGGCTAAGCCGAGAAAAATCAATTATTTTATGTATACTAAAATAATACAATAAATACGAAAATAGTACAATTGGGTATTGGACAACTTTTAGATTTTACGTTATTTACTCGCGTATATGGAGTCCAGAAAAAGATGATTGATTGTCATCCTTTTGTGTAATTCATAAAAAAATAAAACTAAAAATTCTGCTATAAAATATTCCGAATCGTTTGAGGTTTGCCTATATGTGACGTCACACAGCTGACATTTAAACGCCAAACGGTACTAGTATTGTCACTTTGACTGAATGTTTACGTATGTGTGATGTCATTTTAGGCTATATCAACCCTAGGTGTTTTCGGACACGTGACAATGAACAAAAAAAACTTTTCTATTTTGTAATTTTTGAGTAGAATTATCTATATTTTTTGTGAATTAGTAAAAATCACTGCCAATATTTCTTTTAAATACATATGCCGACTGACAATTGGTCCTTAATTTTGAATACCATCAAACAATTATATAATTTATCTGCCTTAGTTCCATTAAAACTTCAGTTTTTAGAGTTCCGTATTCAAGAGGGGACAAACGGAACCCCATTAATAAGTCTCCGCAATTTAGCTGTCGTTGCTCTGTGACAAGCGCTAAATATATCTCTTGAACGGTTTTTTAAAGTAAATATTAAAAATAATTTAAGTGTAATTATAACCTAATTATTTCCTTATTTAAGTGTTTTTGTTTCTATCGAGTCGCTTTTTTATTAAATCATATTATTTATTAAGCTAACGTAATAATAACACAAAGAAAGTACAACAGCGTAATATAAAATTGAAGAATAGAAACAAAACAATTAAATATCTTTACGTACTTACTTGGTATAAAACAATGTCGCTCCCGCTATTTGTACACTTAGACCTTTTAAACTACCTACGCAACGGGTTTTAATGTAATTACGAGGAAAAGATCGCTTTATTTTTATTAGAAAGATTTATGTGTATGAAACAAGCCAGATAACAAAACTTATATTATAAACCGATACCAGAGCCAAGCGGCGGCAAGTCATTTGTTAGGAAAATTATTTTAAAGTATATTTTATATATATAACCGAATTAGCTTAAACCCCTTCCACACGACACAATTTGATTGCCAATCTGATTGCCGATTGAATTGGGTACAATCTGGTCGTCTGTCTACACATACACAACAAGATCGCCAATTTCAGTTTTATTTGTTGCCTTTGCTGAACGGACTTGTTTGTATTAGGATGCCTCTTACCAAGAAGCAAAAAATTGGATTAATCTTGGCTCTAACTACAAATGTAGATGAGAAAAAAAGAAAAAGAAGACTGTGGACAAAACAATGGTTATTAAAAAGAAAGCAATTGAGGCACTTAAATGAAGTTTAATAATAAAAGTGACTCAATTAATAAACTTAAATATAGTTATACTTAAAGAGTAATATTTTTAAAGAAAATATAACTAGAAAAAATTCCACGCGGACCAGGCAGCAGACGGGACTCGAACCCGCACCCTTCGAAAACCCTTTAAAATATAACTGAGTTATATTTTCTTTAGAGTTAAACATCAAGCAGTTACATGCTTTAAAAATAATAAAAATTATTTTATTATTTTTAAAGCATGTAACTGCATAATTGGTCAGTGCATTCGCCCGGATTGCGAAGGGTGCGGGTTCGAGTCAAAATCTCTAAGGAATTATGCCTTGCTTGTTTATTTTTATATAATGGGTTAGACACATCCCAAAGGCATGGTAAGTCTTAACATATATCTAAAATCTCCTCCATTACTTCCCGTTCAGATCGAATAGACATAATATTGTCGTCATGTTGCTCCATCTTCTTCTCAAAAGACAAGTCAACGCACACACCCTCTCTGAACGCCGCTTGCACAGTGACTACGTTAAAAAATTGGCCAGTTAGCGTCCACACCACCCAATTTGATTGGGCAATCCCGAATCGGGCGATACCGACCATCCAATGACCTTCAATTTCATATTTCCGTCCACACAACACAATTCGATTGTCAATCTAATCAAATTGGACGTAAAATTGTATCGTGTGGAAGCCACTTAAAAAAAAAAAAAAAAAATTGTGGTAGACAATGTATAGAAGTTCAACCACTTTACGATAGTACTTTATTATCGGTTGTTAAACAGTACCTATTGAGACTTCCATGCAAGTGGTATTTTTCTTGACTATAATAACTTTTTAACAATCGGTATTAAAATACTACCTAAATTTTAACAGATTCGATTAAACATCTGAAGTCACAATCGATAGAGTATATCCAGCACCCACAACACTAATGTTTTTTTTTGTGCGGTACAATACTTAAGGGGCGGGCTGAAAATTTTTCCGCAGTTACACGATTGCATTCGTTTTGTTTGGGTGTGTCTATTATTTAAATGTAAGTTAATTTTCTTATTAGCTGTTTAATTACTTTAAAATTGTACTTACGAATGAAATGACACGTTTTTCTTGTCTCTAATTGTTCCCGTGTATTTCGTGTACTATATAAAACACGCATGGGGCTATTTGTCTGGAAAAATGTAAAATATTTACATGTTGTAGCAAAGTGTAGCCGCGGCGAGAAAGCGTGCCCTGGCTTAATGCAAGTCGGGCAATTACCTGACTTTCGTATTGCCAAATTAGAAGCGTGTATTTTATCTTTAACTTTAAAATACAGTGTAACCTCGATGTAACAAATCGGAAGGGAATAAGTAAATATTCGTTATATCGAGTAATTCTTTAAACTGAGGTTTATTATATTAAGGTTAGGTTGGTCTAAAATTTGTTATAGAGGTAAATTTTTTTTTTTCTGGCGTGACATGAATGACGTACTATGGGATTAAGGGCCATATATTGATGAAAACGTTATATAGAGGTTTTTGGTTGACAAAATTCGTTAATTAGGGGTATTTACTCTTTGTTTGATAGTTGAAAATTAGTTATAAAAAGGTTGTTCGCAAAATTTTTTCGCAATGTAAAGGTATATTTTACATTGACTTTTATGGAAAGTTCAAGGGGATTACGAAGAATTTGTTAAATCAAGGAAGTCGTTATTTTGAGGTACGTTATATTAAGGTTGCACTGTATCATAGATTGTGTGTGTGTAAAATTCATCCAATCGAATACCATTATACCATGCCATAAGCACTGAGCAAGTATTCAATATGGCCATAAGAATAACAGGCATTAAAAATTAGAAGAGCGTCTGGCGTCACGCAGGTGTGGAAGAAACACAAAGAAAGTACGAGCATTTAACAAAATTTACCTATAGTCTATTCACTTTGGGGTGAGACAAAATGTAAACAATGAATCAGAGGTTCTAAAACTTTTATAATGTCAGAAAGTACCTACTAGGTTACATAACCATGTGTATTTCAAATGAAACCAGCATAATACTTTACAAGTAATATTTATTCACTCTCCGATGACTCACTGGATGAACTGCCACCAATTTTAATTATAAATTGATCTACAACATCATCAACAATACCATCTAATTTTAGCATTTTCTGCTCTTCTTTTATGACATGGTCAATGCACCGTTTCCATGATTCAGCTGTTATAGATTGTAAGGCATCAGCTAATAGATTTTTAATTTCAGTCATCTTAAATGTTTTATTATTTTTACCAACATATCCCTTGACTTGTGCCCATATCAGCTCAATGGGATTTAATTCACAGTGGTAAGGTGGAAGTCTTAACACTGTGATACCCTTTTGTTGTGCCATTTCGTCTACAACATATGTCATATAAGCATCCTTAATTTGTTTAATTTTATACAGAAGCTCAACCTTTCTTTCACTTTCGTCAAAGGATATGTTTTTATCCTGTAGCCATGCTTGCAACTCACACTTCTTATTAGAAGACGTAGGTATCTTTTCTTTCCTTCTTGAATGGTATGGTGCATTATCCATGACAACAACAGAGTTAGCATCTAATTTAGGCAGAATATCACTAAACCATTTCTCGAAGTTGTATGCATCCATCTCAGAGTGGTAGTCTCCGTCACTTTTTTTTGCCTTAAAAATCAATTCTCCCCCTTCCAAAAATCCTGAGCTGGAACCTGTTAACAAACAATATATCATTACTGAAAATGAATCATTAGTTACTATTATATATAATAATAATATGCAATTCAAGTATATATATATAATATAAGGATAACTTTCCAATCTTAGTCTTTGATCTTTTGCCTTACCACATGTTAAAATAAAATTATTTACATACATTAATATAATCACGCTTGTTATCCCACAAACGGTTGACAAGAGTTTTAGGTAATGCTTGGGTATTGTAAAAGTAATGTTATTTGCTTACAGGAATTAAATAGTACTACAATATTTACCAATATGCAGTACGATCAGACGCTTCCCTTTTCCACTTGGGCTTTTCAATCCAATTGACAATCCCTCTCGATGAGCTTCTTTCACAGTTTTAATAGAATTATCTTGCCAAATTTTGTTCATAGTGTGGCTGTAACAAATAAAAGTTCATCAACAACTTTTGAAAAATAAAAACAATCATAATAATTTAATTCAATTGCTACCTATTTGAGTAACATTTTCACAGGATAAAGACATGGTATGAAAATAATAAGTATCATTCAATATTTACAAAAATATTGTCATAAAATTATGTGTATGTAAATTATAATAAAAATTAATATATGATAGTACTGTGATCATTAACAATAAAAAATATAAATTAGTTTAGCAAATACAAAAATAAACATAATTTATTCAGAAGTTGATTTCCCATAGAATGAAGTAGTTTAATATTGTATTTTACTAACCTTCATTTAGCCAAGTCTCATCAGTGTAATAGATAGTTCTGCCTTCGCCCCTGAACTTTACAATATTGTTTAAATATTTGATACGCCATAAAATAATGTCATCCCTATCAATAAGTCCACTCTTTCGGCTTCTTTTCGCATATTTAAATTGCAATGTTTTCATTAACTTGAAAAAGGAGGTCCTCTTAAAGTTTGGCAAAGTTTCATCTGTGTTCACAGCGTGCAATACTTTGTCAACGGTGGGCATCTACTTATTAAAAAAAAATGTGTGGCGTATCGCAGCCTTATCCATATCGTCCAATGTATCAACAAAAGATAGTTTAGATGGCGGAGGCGGAGGTGATGAGATACGGCCGGTACTTTTTTTTTCCTTCACCAACCGGTAAACAGTAGCTCGTGATAAGCCCAGTATTTCGGCGGATTTATTCATTATATCGCTTTTATATGGATAGGGATCTTTTGGCCAGGTTTCTTCGACATGTTTAAAAACATTTATTACGACCTCCTTTTCGTTGGAGCGCAATGGACCACTCTTTGTACGCTTTTTCTTCGGCGAAGAAAATGTACAAGAGCTGCTTGGTTCAGGTTCACCACTATAACTGTGGCGAGGATAATCTACTTGACTTATTTAATTTAATACGAAAATCGCAAATTATATTTTACAAGACTTTATTTATTTCGACATATTAAAATAGACAACAATAAATTCGAAAACAAACTAATCTCTTTATAGAAATGTAATCGTCCAGTGCTGCGATCATAGACATAGTATTTGTACCTATGGCTGCACTCGACATCCTGCCACTCGAAGAGCAAAACAGGTTCATTGCCACAGTTTCTTGGGTGGCCTAACCTGACGTCCACTGCGGGTAGTACACTACTTCGCCAGATGTCGAGTGCAGCCATAGGTACAAATACTATGTCTATGATCGCAGCACTGGACGATTACATTTCTATAAAGAGATTAGTTTGTTTTCGAATTTATTGTTGTCTATTTTAATATGTCGAAATAAATAAAGTCTTGTAAAATATAATTTGCGATTTTCGTATTAAATTAAATAAGTCAAGTAGATTATCCTCGCCACAAGTGGCGACCGTGAATTTAAATAGTGTGAGGATAAATATATAGGACTATAGAACGGAAATCGTGTGTCACAGTAGCAAACAAAATGGAGAAAATTAAAAAGTTGCGAACTGTGGCAAGGAGGCTATTTACGAAAGCTGCTGATGAAGTAGCAGAAGCCGGTGAAGCGCAAACGCCCGGAGAAGTAGAAAAATACTTTAATTTTTTGAAAGAAAAGGCGGATGCATTATTTAAATTAGATGATCAGGTACAACTGGAATTCTTGAAAGAGGAAGATTTTGACATAGATGAGTTTGAAAAAGAACAAAATTCTGTAGACGGCTATAGAAAAAGATGGATAGAATTGAAAATTTTTTACGAACACACAATAGGAGAAGACAAGTTAAGTAAAAGTAGTTCTGAAGTTACAGTAAGGTCAGAAGTAGAAACAAGAGCCATCAAGAATGAACAAAAGACTGTAGATTTTGGAAGAAAATTTAAATTACCAATAATTGAATTTAGGAAGTTTGACGGAAAAATAAATAACTGGTTGAGTTTTTGGGGACAATTCCACCAGATGTCGAGTGCAGCCATAGGTACAAATACTATGTCTATGATCGCAGCACTGGACGATTACATTTCTATAAAGAGATTAGTTAGTTTTCGAATTTATTGTTGTCTATTTTAATATGTCGAAATAAATAAAGTCTTGTAAAATATAATTTGCGATTTTCGTATTAAATTAAATAAGTCAAGTAGATTATCCTCGCCACAATAACTATAGCCACGAAAACGTCAATTCAACAAGAAAACTATCTCTAACAACTTTAAACTTAACAGTAAAAAAAATAACAACTAACTCAACAAATAAAACAAGGAATTAACAAGAATTTAACAAATAAGATTGAATATGCACGCTCGCGTCAACAGGTTGATCGGGAGAGTAAAGATGGCTGGCGTAAACCAACCGATTACAAAACACAACACTTCAACGTAAAATACTTATATCATGCGACTCTTAAATTTTGTCGTAATATAATACGTCTTAAGTTTGGGAATGTTTGTGTTTTTAGGTCTTTTTCCTTGTCAACTTAAGTTGTTAAAATACTTTTTTACGCAAAATAAAAATATTCGATTTTATGATGTGTAGGTATATACGTTAAATGTATGTAAAATATTTTATTTTCTTATTCAGATGTATGTGCCAGCTTTTAAAATAATTAACTTAATGTTTCACTGCATTTTCTATGTAAATAGTATTTAATATTTACTTTTGCCAAAAGTGACCTCAAAAAGTATCCTTTTTATGGTTTGTTTACATTTTGTCTCAGCCCAAAGTGAATAGACTAGTCTATTCACTTTGGCTTGAGACAAAATGTAAACAAAGAATCTGAAGTTCTAAAACTTATTAAAGTCTAAGTATCACAGGATACGATGCGATATGAATTACGACAGATGCGTGTTTTCTGGGGTGGGTGTTCGATTCCATGAATAATGACTTGAAAAAGTAATCGCAGCCATTTATTTACTTTTCGGTATGG